GCGCTGGTGCTGCTCAGCACCAGCTCACCAGTACCCAAAACTCTTGGTGTGGCATCAGCACCTTTCCAGCTACGAGTGCAGAGCCCAGCACTGGGAGGGCTGCTGTGGGAAAACGAGTCCAGCTCAGCCAGACCCAGTACAAGGTGTGGCCTGACAAAGAGGCATCGGCAGCGTCCCCTCCCTGTGAGGCTGCAGGATGGGACTTGTCCTTGACTGGAGCCACATTTGCTTTGTCTGCTGTCTTTTCTCCTGGGCATCACTACTGACACAAGTTCAGTCCCAGGGGCTGGGCTTGAAGGTCATGGGAGTAATTTGCCAGTGGACAACCAAGAGGGAAACCGTGGCGTGATATTCTTCTCTTTGTTTTCTTTCTTCCCTTTCTTCTCTTTCTTCCCTTTCTTCTCTTCCATTCCCTCACTACTCATTTCTCTAGGGTTTTACTTCTGTTTGACATTTCCTCTGGCAACTGCTGCATTTCCCAAGCATCTCAGGGTTGGTTCAGCATGAGGGGTCTTGAGCAAATCCCACCAGGAGCTATCACCCTGCGTGATGTTTTCACAGATGTCTGTCTTTCCCAGGAGTCAAACTTCTCTCTTGTATGTTTTAAATATAAGTTCCTTGCATTGTAATTTCTAGGCATCACCTCTCTGACAGATATGCCATCACCTTGATTTACCCTAGTGCGTCTCTCCTTACAGGGAGGAGGAAATGAGAAAGTAATGGTCATATTTCAAAACCACCTACAGTGCAGGTGGCATAAAATCCTATCTGACAATTATATTTGAAGGTAGAAACTCAAATTAAATCACTTTAGTATTTAACAATTGACCTACTTCAGACTATACAGCAAGCAGTTTAGCCTAAGGAGGTAGGCAGGCTACAATATTTCACTTTCTGGGCCCCACACTGTTTAACACTACCACAGCATAATTGAAAACTTGGTCCAAAACAAACAAACAAAAAACAACAACAAAAAAACCCCAACAACAACAACAACAAAAAAAAAAACCCACAAAAAAAAAAAACACCAAAGGAAAAAAAAAACCCCAAAAAACAAAACAAAACAAAACAAAAAACAACCAAGCAGGTGAAAAAAAAACCAAAAAAAACCAGGAAAATGTAGATTTCTTTAATGCAGAATATTTCATTATTGTCAGGGTCCCAAAAGCATGAATAAGTCTTTATGCCCTGCCCAGTTCCATAGCCATGGACCCAGAACCCTCATTTTGACTCAGCTCAGGGCCAACAGTCCCTGCCTGGGCTGTGCTGGAGCCTGCAAGTTTTCTTTTGCCTTTTTCTATCAGCACATGCTTCTGTGCAAATATTTAACACAAAATAGCTATGAAATAGTATTGACACAGGTATGATACAACACGATGAGCCCACACAGAAGAACACAAACTGTGAGTGGTGCAATGGGCCCTGGGAGAAATCTCTGTATCTGTAGAGTTTGACCAAAGAAAAGGTTCAGGGTCAGCCCCAGCCTGGCCCAGCCCTGGCTGGGACAGCCAAAACAAGGATCTTGGTTCTTGGTTTCCCTCATTTGCACAGCAGCCCAGCTCACTCTCTGCTTCCTACACCTTCCTTTCTCATAACTTCATTTGTGGGTTAAAAGAAGTCTTAATGCAAACAGAAGATGTTGTTTAATAGGAGCAATTTCATCAGTATTGTGAAACTAGCAGGGACCAGCAAGCAGCTGCTGCGACAGTTTTGGTGAGCTTATTCTTTATTTTTATCTGGTGTGTGGTGTTTGGTCAGAAACCTGGAGTCAAAAGCAGCACAATCCTGTGAAGGACTTAGTGTTTTAGAGAAATACTCTGGGGGGCTTTTCCCTGCAATTTTAGTGTCCTTTCACCTCACCAGGCAGCAAGCTCTGTGACTTCAGGAGACTGGAGGATTATCTGGTTTTTAGTGTTTGTGGAATACCATTAATTTGTTCTGTGGGATTTAGCTGCAAAGTCAGGAAGGAATGTTTATTCTTGAGGTCAGTGTGTGCTGCAGGTACTGTAACCAGTAAATAACTATCTGAATAAAGGTAATCTGTCTGCATTTAGACATATTGTGACCAGTTTGGGTGGGGAATTCTCTCCTTGAAGCTGCAAGGTGAATCTCTGCCTCATTATTTTGTGTCTCTATGTACCCTGGAGGCATGCAGCAAAAGCATGATGTGATGGGAGATCCAGTCAAGCAGTCAGACCTGCTTCTGTGGCCTGCTCTTTCTGCACCCACATAACTGTGTCTGTCCTCCCAATTTCAGGAAAGTTCCTGTATGACAGGGTTTCACTAACCTGCTTCTCAGGTTTGTCACATCTCCAAAATCAGGTTAAAATTTTAGAGCTGAAACTCAATTCCATGTTTTCTCATGGTTTTAGGTCAGCTTCAATAAGAATAGAATTAACACTTGTTACGTAACAAATTATTAGATCTAGAAAAAAATATGCAGAATTTTCACATTCACAAGAATTCTAATATGCAATAAGTAATTTTTGTTTATAATTTCTACATTACATCATATGAAAACCAAATGTTCTCAAATTTCTATGATTTATTTGCAACAGTTTTAGAGTGGTCCTAAAGGTTGGGTGTTAATTTTTTATGAATTTTGGATTTTTACTGCAGCCATTTGGGAAATTTCTGCAGTTAACAGAGGTGATGGAAAAGCAAGTTTGGACAATAACTGTAGTAAATCTGGTTTTCCAAGGAAGTAATCCGATTTTTTAAGTTCCACACACAGCATTGTTATTTTTGGTGGGTTTTTTAACATTATAGCATAATGTTGGCATAAGCTATGACCACTGTCTGTGGGTATTCCCAGCTGAGCACACTGTGTTTAATACTGCAGGATAACCTAATGTCTGTGAGTCTGTGCTAATAGTCCAAAGTTATGCTGTCCCTGCTCAGAAAGGAAGAAGCCAAAACTGCTTGACCTTGCAATTCTGCCCGTTACATTTTAACTTTGGTATGTTGTCTCATGCTCCTTCTCTGGAATTCATTTTTCCATTTCTGCCCCTCTTTCACATATGGATAACAGGGAAGGGAGCAAATTTCTTGGAGGTCATAGCAATAAAACAGAATCTTCAAGAGGTCAGGAGCACATCTGTAGTCCAACTTTCTGCTTGCAGCCTCTCAAACACCATATGAGAGCAGCTATGCCTTTGCTTAGGCACCTCTTGAAAAAACTTAAGGATGGTAATTCCAAATCCTCTCTGGGTGACCAATTTAAGTGCTTCACTATCTGCCAGTGGAGAAATTAGTGATGAATATTTCTCAGTCCACTTCTCAATCATGCCAGATGGTGAAATGAGAGCAATGAACAGAAGTTGTTGTTTGGCAAGTTGAGATTAGATAATCTCTAAGTCCCTGGAAGGAATTGCAGGCTGAAATGAGAAAAACAAGGAGCATCCCCAAAGCTGTTCTGGAAACAAGGAGGCAAAAGAGAGTCGGGAGTAGGAAGCAATTGCATAGATTTTAAAGCAGGAAAAGTTTGGGTTTTTTCCCCACAAACAAGTTAAAAAAGCAAATCCCTGTAATGAAAATTTAAAGTAATTAAAGTAGTCCCAGTTACACAACTATTTTCCTTTAGAATATGCACAATGAAAATTAAAGCCAATCCTGTAATTATAAACTGTTGATATTTAAACTCTTGGTATTTAAGAGTGGATTTCAGTAACTTATCTTAGTGGGCTGTTTTTCATGGTGCGGTAGAAATTACCTGACCCATGAATGCCCCTACACTTGCTTCCATTTTCTTCTTCCCTGTGTTTTGAGCTGTGAGTGTAATTGAAAATGTCCAGCAGATAAATATTTGCTGTCTGCTCTGGGAGCCCACACAGCTTTGGGAGCTTGTCACCTGTGCCTGCACAGCTCCCTTGGGAGGCACAGCAGAAACAGCGCCCAGAAACCTCAGTAATTCCCCTCTGTGATCCATGGCACACACTGCAATGGTGTGGAATTCCAGTTTCCAGCAAGGAAAAGATGTTCCTGCCCTCTAAGGCAAAACTCTGAAAGGGCTGAAACCCAAGGTCTTACAATGACATTTCACTGCCAGCCTTCATGCCTTAATCCAGGGCTGTTTTAGCACATGGACTGGGAAAAATTATGTGGTGAGACTCTTTGGCTGAGCTGCCACAGGTACAGATGGACACTAGGAAAGAAACAGAGCAGGCAAAGAAAGGCAGGAAAGAAAGGAGGACACAAAGAGCACTAAGTTGGGAAGGTGCCACTCTGAAAATCAAAGCAGAACCTACTGAAAGGGAATGGGACAGAAATAAAGAATTTGGAAAGGTCTGAAATGGCTTAAACGCAAGTGAAACAAGAGCCCTGAGGCACAGCCCTCATCCCTGGCCTGCAGCTGCACACAGAGCCCCTGCCCACGAGTTCCTGGCTCTGTCCATCTGGCCCATGCTTTGTGCCCTGTTTAGCCCACCCAAAGCCAGGGCTCTGCACTCTGGGGCCCAGGCTGCCATGTGGGATTGTGTCCAAAGCCTCACAGGGCTATATCTGGGCATATTTTCCTAGCTGTGGACTTCAGGGCTTGGCAATTAGCAGTTGCTGCATCTGAGCAATGGTGAGCTAAAGGCAAATATAAAACACAAATACAATTGGAAATAGAAAAGTATTAGCTGCACTCAGTCCACTTCTTTGCACTGCTTGGGTCTCCATTTCATTAGATCAGTCTAAAAATGTTGATTTTAAATAAACTACATGTTTAGCTCATACCCTTAAAACCTTAGCAAGAGCACAGTGTGGGCTGTGTAGTGCTAAGGAGGGCTGTAAGCACAGAGCCAGGAAAAGGCCTGATCTGCCACACTTCCCTGTTAACCTTTAGTCTGTGAAACCTGGGCTTGGACAAGATTTTCATTAAGATGCCTCAATTAATCTAGAGGAAATTTGATCATGTAACTTCTGTGAGTAATTATCAACATTCAATTTCATGTAATTCTGAAATCCTAAATCTGGATGGAGGCCAGAATACACTGAATAAACACCACATGTCCAGAATGCCTCTTGTGTGGTACAGTAAGGCTGGTTTTTTGGGCTTTTTTTACCCTTTTCCCCGTGTAATGAAGAGATTACATATGCATTTATAGAAAAGAATACACTGAATAAACACCACATGTCCAGAATGCCTCTTGTGTGGTACAGTAAGGCTGGTTTCTTGGGCTTTTTTTACCCTTTTCCCCAGTGTAATGAAGAGATTACATACGCATTTATAGAAGTGCCACCTTTTGTGAGAGTGGGGTTGAAATGTGGCAAGTGTCTACTCATGCACACAGCAAAAAGAAGGGAGAAACAGCACCAAGATCCATTTCTGTTGTTCTGTTCCCAGAAAGGGCAGCTCTGGGTTCTACACATAAGTCATTTTTCCAGGATCTGAATGGCCTTATTTGACAGGCAGCACGCAGTTGCAGTATGCATCTCAGAAGACAGAAGAAATTACATCTAAAGTATATTTTGTAATGCAATTTGAAACATTGTTACAGTGGCCGTGGATATAGTGCGTAGTGGCATGCGGTGCCTGTGTGACAGGAGTTATTTAAACTAATTAACACAGATCTATCAGGATGATCCAGCTGGGTCACGTGAGGGGAGTGGGAGAGATTTCAGGTGCTTGACCAGTGGCTTTAGCACATACATAATTTAGCACTGAATGGCAAAAAATATACATTTTTTTTGCTCTATTGGCACAGGTATGGGACACCAGCTCAAATGAATGTTGATCTGAGAGGTCGGGACCTCCTTACTCTGCAGAACTACACAGCTGATGAGCTGAAGTATTTGCTGTGGATGGCATCAGATTTGAAACAAAGGATAAAGCATGAAGGAGAGGTAAAATGATTTAACTGTCATTTAGGTCCCTCAGATGTTGAAATAAATACTGTTCTGAAGGGTACTGTGAAAAAGCCTTTCAGCTGTCTTGTCCTAAACAAAATCTCCTGAGCTCTTAAAACTGTAAATCATGTGCTGCAAATCAAAGAGCCTTCCTGCAAAGTGTCCAGAGATATTCTTTAAACACTTCAGAGGACTTTGTGAGGGGAAAGGTTAAACAGGTTTGTGCAGCTAGCTCCCTGTTGTCAGCTAACCCCATCCATCCACACATGGTGTACATGCAGCACTAAATGTAGGAAACAGAAGACACTTCTCTGCATGGGATTAAATTAGTATCTGAGTTCTCCTTAATGCTGGCTCAAATTGAGTGCCAAAATGCAGTTCCTTTTGGGCCTAGAATTACTACTTTGTCTTTAACCTTTCCACTGCTAATAAATTCATTGAAGAGCAGGAGAACAAAAGCACAGGTAAGAAACCCCACTTTTGCAACTTTTCTAATGATGAATTAAAATGTGCAAGAAGTATTTCATACTTTAAAGAGTATAATGATTATAAAATTGAAATAACTTCATTTTTCATGTTTCAGTATTTGCCATTGATGCAAGGCAAATCTTTGGCCATGATTTTTGAGAAGAGAAGCACAAGAACAAGATTATCTGCAGAAACAGGTAGGTCTGAGCAATGACACAGTAAGACTTTATATGAAACTGTATATTTGAATATGTACTGAAAAACACTGCATAATTTTGCATTTAGCATTTGTACTCAGGAGAAACCTAAACTTTGAAAGCAAAAATAAGAAAAGAATGGTGGCTGTTTGTGTTTCACCTTGCATATTAATTTCACAAGCACATGGCTTTGGTCACTGAAATTTTGTCCAAATCTTGCAAAACATGGTAGATCAGAAATAAAGTAACAGGCAGAAGTAAGTATTTCTATTGTAAGCTCCCAGCTGTACTGGCAAGATGTACATTTCCTAACATCTACTTCAGTAAGCATCACAAATTGAATTTTGTACAAGCTCTAATAAATATTTTTCTAATGTAATATGCATTACCATTGTTACATTTCAAAGTATGTTCTTAGGCTGGGAATCACAGTAATGCCTTGATATAAATTCAGGGGAAAAATTAACATGATTACCTACAGGGGAAGATAACTTGATGGAGACTCAAGGATATTAGCCTAATCATATCATGCACTGGAACATTTTTCTTTTAGGTTACAGTCCTGCAAACACTGAAACATGTACCTATAGTATCTTTATTTACATGGTAGTTGTTCTGAACTCAATGGCACTGCTGAAATAAATAACTCATCAATTAATCATTCATAGCAAGAAATAACTCTGAACTGGTGAAGCATCAAGGAAGAACTTGCTCTTTTTTCATTTAAGTTGACCCAGCATCCCTCACTTCTCCCTAGTGAAGGAAGAGGAAACCTGTTGAGTATTCACACTTCTTTACAAGTTGTAAGAGAGAAGGTAAAAATAATGGAAGGAAGAAGCAGATGCGTTAACTTCAAGCATTTCTGAATTTGCCTTTGTATTGTCTGGCACAGCCATTTGCCTGCTGATCCTGCTCTTTAAGCAGACTTGTTGTTGCTTTCTGTTTTCTCCTGATAATGAGGACTTACTAATGTGCATTCCCTGTCTGTGAAGACCACCCACCTTTTAATTCCTGAGTTTTCAGTCCAATTTCTTGTTTCCTGCCATCCTGGTATATGGCCAGGTAATGAATTCTCTGGATCTGTTTATCCTTCATTCTTCTGTATTCTGAGGGAAACACTACTTAGTCCTTGGCTTTTGAAGGCTTATGGAAGGAGGAAGCTCAGGAAAGTTCAAATGAATTAACTTAAGGATGGGAGTTAATGCACATAAATTCATCCAAGGGAGAATTAAGCTCCAGTGAAATAAAACAAATTTATTTCTGAATGAGAGCTTCCACAAGAGAGTTTAATGCAGTTTAGCTTCTGTGCATTAACTTCACACCTTCTGTTAATTGGTCTTAAGTCTGTTAAGCCTAAGACTTTGCTTCAAAGGCAGACTTAAGTTTTTTCTTCCCACAAAAACTCTATACATTTCAGCTGCTTTTTTAACATAAATGATTCCGTCCTTGGAATTTCTAACTCAAAACAAATGTGGAGCCACATGTGTTCCTTTCAGCTAAACAAGATAATTTAATACCAATTTTCTAATGTCTAGTAAAAGTGGACAATTGCAGTGGATTGGAGTGTTTATTTATAAAGTTCCTGAGTCATCTCAAATAGCTCTTCCCAAGAGTTGCCCCTTCAATAACTTGAGAGAGGTCACTTGTAGGGCAAGGTCCTGGGGATGAGATTAAGCTAAACAAATTTTGCAACTCTCAGGAACAAATAAATCAGTGCATTTCATTACAGAGCAGAGACTTGGAAAGCACTGATTACAAAATCTTCCCTGTGCAGTGTTTAGGAGTTTGTTGGGATATATTAACACCATGGAAGAGTTTTCAGAATTCCTATTGTCCCTATGCCTACAAAGAATGACATTATTGAAAAAGAAATAAACAGAGTGGTTGAAGTTGGAAGTAATCTCTGAAGGTCATCTGGTCCAGTCTCCTGATCAAGCAGGGTCTTCTAGAGCCAGCTTTCCAGGACCATGTGCAGAAGCCTTTTGAATATCTCCAAGGATGAAGGTGCCACAATCTTCTGTGGCAACCTATGCCATTGCTCAATCAGCTTTTCAGTAAATAGAATTGACAGTTCAGAGGGGTCTTCTGAGACTGTGCCCATTGCACTATTGAAAAACACCTGGCTCTGTCTTCTTTGCCTCCTCCCTTCAGGTGTACATTAGCAATGTTTCCCCTGAGCCTTCTCTTCTCTAGGTGTGCTGTCCCAGCCCTCTCAGCTTTTCTTCTCATATGAAATATGCTTCAGTCCCTCAGCCATCTTTGTGAGCCTTTGTTAGCATGGACATCCCAACTGTATCCCACATGTCCATGTTTCTCATACTGAGGACCCCAAATCCGGACTCTTGAGGTCACCAGTGCTTATAAAGAGGAAAGATCACCTCCCTCCACCTTCTGACAGTATTTGTCTGGTGCAGTCCAGGGCACCACTCACCACCATTGCTGGAAAGGTACACACACTGCTGGGTCATGTTCAATTTGCTGTCCACCAGGACCCCCAGGACATTTTCTGCCAAGCTGCTCCCCAGATGGGAGGCCCCCATCACGTCCAGGTGCAGGGGCTGTTCTTCCTCAGGTGCAGGACTTTGCATCTCTCCTTGCTGAACTTCATGGGGCTCCTGTCAGACCATTTTTCCAGTCTGCCAAGATCCCTCTGGACCAGCCACTCCTCCCAGTTTTGTGTCAACAGCAGGATTGCTGAAACCACACTCAGTCAAGACCCTTAACACAGGTGTTAAACAGGACTGGACACAAATGGACCCTGAAGGGACTGCTGGTCACTGGCCCCCAACTGGACTTTTTGCTGGTGGCCACCACTCTCAGGCCTGGCCATTTGGACAGTTCTGAACTCATCCCATGCTCTGCTCATCCAGCCAGGCATCCTCAGCTTGGCTAGGAGGATCTCACGGGAGACACTGTCAATGGACACAATGAAGTCCAGGCAGACAAAACCCACTGCCCTCCCCTCATATACCAGGCCAGTCATAAATCACAGAGGTTGATCAAGCTGCTCAAGCATGACTTCCTCTTGGTGAAACCATGCTGACTGTTTCTGACAGTTTTCTTATCCTTAATCTGCCTAGAAATCGTTTTCAGGGTTAGCTGCTTCATCACTTTCCCGTGGACTGAGGTGAGGCAGCTTAGCCTGTCTTCTCTGGGTCCTCCTTGCCCTTCTTGAACTTGGGGGTGACCTTTTCGCATTTCTCCCAATTGTCCAGATCAATTGAAAATTATCAAAACATTAATTTATGATGCATTGCAATAGATCAGTTGATATTTAACGTTTTCCAATATCATGTTTCTCTGAACTGTTTTATCCTAATGACATTGCAATCGTACTGAATAATATACATCTCCTTGGGGTATAATTAATTGCCTCTTTAATCTTGTCCTAATGTATTTCTGAAACCTATATAATTTTACCATTTCTAAGTAGTGATAAGTTTAATGCAGGACTAGAAGTAACTTCCGTAGAGTAGTGGCAAAGTAAATCCAGTTCTGTAAGCCTAGGAGATTTATTTCTATCACTGGCTATTTTATTGGAAAATGTGACATATCTGCTATTACACTGGAAAATGTCAGCTCTTCACAGTCAGAATCCCATACCCATTCTGCATAAAATTTTGTGTACTTTTTGAAAACAGATCTATTCACATGGTCATGTATTACTGGTAAAATAAACATCCTCAGGCATGGCACAAGTTGGATGTTTTTGTTATAGCTTTGGTGTAAAATAATCTGAGTGTCACTGTTGCTGTTAAAATATACAGCTGCAGTTATGTTTTAGTGAATAAGTCATAAATAAATCCAACCATTTCACAGACACTGAATGCAGACAATATTTCACAGAGCAGAAATAGAGAGGAAGCAGTGCACATAGGAAAGCTCAGCCTACCTTCTCTTGTTGTGCACTGCAATATACAAAATATTAACAGCCTTATGGGGGTTCAGTGCCACTGGCTTTAGTGAAATTACTCCCAACTCACTCCTCCTACAGAGTGGGGTGAGAGGAACATGATGCCCATGCCTGAAAACTGCTACACAGAGTCACAGAAATAATTACATCGTAGCATATGAGTAGTGGAGATGGTATTAGATGGTACAGGGTCTTTTTTCTTTTTGAATGGCTAAGTATTATTTAGCTTGGCCTCATTACAGAGGGCCCAAATGCACTCTTAGCTTACCCTTCACTTAAAAGGGTAGCTTGAAAAGAACTTCTAAAAACTGCTTATCAATTTTTAGCTTCTGCTTTAAGAATTTTCTGCAATTGCTGCCTAGGAGAGTTCTTTATGTCTAAATGGAAAAATACTTTCTATTTTGTAAGTCCAGGCAGGCAATGAGGAAATTAATAAATGCAAATCCATATGTCTTGAAAAAGATCCTTCCTTTGAGTCTGAGAAGATGACTATATGTGTCTCCTGGTGACAGCTCCAGAATTGTGTAGCCAACCTGTGAACTACAGGATTCATTTTGGCCCCCTTACCCCACGCAGCAGGGACAGCCTGGCATGAAGCTTTCAGTCATGTCCTGTCTGAAAGAGTCTGCATAAATGGGGTCAATAATGTGCCACAGCCTGAGGCATGAAACTGTGTATTTTGAAAACTAACAGTAGTGAGAAGTGTGTACATGAGGTAATCTATTCTGGATTTGCAGTATGAACATGTAGTAGTTTATTGAAGATATCACAATTCATATAAATATTTAGCATGTGACCTTGGATATGACCAGGTTGTGACACCAAAGGATTAGATCTCCAAGTTTCACAGAGCACTCCAATGTTTATTTGCTGAATTGGTGCCTGCATACCTTCAAAAGTCATCTTTTATTTTGCTTTCTACTGGTAGTCTGCATGAAGAATCTGAAAAAGATTCTGTCTCCGCAACTATATACAAAGCTAAAGCACAGAGCTCCTGTATTTCCAGATGGAAAGTTTTGTATGGAAATATGTTCCCAGGCCCTGCACAGATGGCCAGTTCATGAGCAGAGAGCTCAACACATCAGGGCCCTGCTATGTACACAGACTCCAGGTGGCAGCTCTGACTGGGCTGCCTGACATCTGGCAGTTCTGAATAAATGTTCAGATTCCCATTGTTTTACCTGGACATCATTTCTAGAAAACAGAACATGTCCATTGGAGCCTGCCAGGACTGTGAATCATCTACCAAAATATATATGCATTTAGAATCCTAAAATGCAGAGCTGCTGTATTGTGTGGAACTTGCAGGAATAAATAACATAATTGTATATGACTCCAAAAAAATCCGGAAGAATTTGGGAAGGAAAAGTTACTGCCAACAACAGTTTATCCTTGAGGTCTTGACTTGAAAATTGGCACTGAATAAACAGGCTGTGATGTGTAGTTTGCATACACTGTCCTTTAAATGCAGTGTTTGTGTCTGAGTTGCAGAGGGGAGGTGAAAAAAGCAATAGTAGAATAAATGGTGCTTCATCCTTAAAAGTTTGCTCTTGTAATATGTTGAGATTTGGAGCAATCCTTAATGAAAACAACAAGCAATTTAAAAGGGTCCATTCAATAAAACGAGTGTACACTGGCTAGGGGAGCAGAAATTTGCCCTTCAGGTGGGACCTGGAGCATCATTACTTTTAATTTGACATTTAGGGAAATTGAGGCAGTCCAAAAAGAATTATTTGCCAATATTGTTTTTATCTATTGTATTTTAAACCCCAGAGGCTGGCTGAATTGATGCAAAACAGAAAACCTGACCTCAACCCTGCTGCCAGCAGATGGAAGTTAATAAGGGTTGCTCTGTGTAAGGAGCCCAGTTGTGGAGCCCACACCTGCTGCCTGTACCTGTTGGTTTTATGTGTGAAAGGTTTCAGTGTTCAGTCCTAGATTAATCCTCTTTTAAAGAGCAGCTGTGGGACGAAGTTTTTAATCCATGGCAGACCTGTAAAACCACTGTGCTGAAGCTGCAGTGCTGAATCTGTCAGCAGTGCCATCTAATGGATACAGCCAGCTTCAGCAGCTTTTGACCTTTTCTTCTAGTTTTTTCTTCCTTTTCCACTCTTTTTTTTCTCTCTTTTAAAATTAATTTTTTTTCCTAACAGCATGAAATTCATCAGCATCTCCACGATATCACAGTTTGTTAAACAAAGTGGGGCTCTCTACTCTTCTATGCTGTGTGCAGCCTTTCTCTTCCTGGCAATATAAAGATGGGCTTCTTACTAGATTTTTGTCACAATAAAAGACTCACGCCCCCACAGTGTTGCCTCAACAAGGCTGGTTTGTCCATACTAAGATTCTCTGGAAATTTCCTCCATCAGAAATGCTAGTGACAGGGCAGGACCTGCCTGCAGAAAATCTCTGTACTGGAAGGGAGTGACAGTTCATAAAACAGCCTCATCAAGCCACGTCCTCTCAATGTGTGGCCATGAGGGACTTCACACTCAGATTCAGAAGAAAGAGGCCTCGGACTTAAACCAGGCAAATACACAGAGACTCAGATGTTGGTGAAAAGATCATTTCTTCCCTGTCTGTGTCAAATGGTTGCTTGTGATAACTTTCTATGGTGGTGCAATTAAAATAAAGCAGCAGAGAGCCTGAGAGTTGCCTTTAACTGCAATTTGTCTTCATCTAAAACACTGTTCAGACACCTTTGAAGTTCCCCAAAATGTTTTCTATTCTTAAATGATGCTCAAGTTTTTCCATGGTTTCCTGCTCAGGAATGGATTTTACTCTTCATACCTAATCCATCCAGTTCTTTGGACTTCTATGCAAATTCCTAATTATTGCAAGGTAGAGGGATGCTGGCAGGGCCTGAGATCTTTTCTTTCTCGCATTATAATTTTTAAGGCACTTGACCATTTGAGACCAAATTCAAGTTTGTTACAGTGTGTGAGGAGGGTTTTCTGTCTGAGTGACTTTACATGAAAAACAGTGTTGATCCTTGTAAGGATGTGGAAGTGCACCAGGTGACTCGGATGGTCCTTCCAGGGTGCAAAGTGCCATGAAGCAGAAATGCAGAATGATGAATGGATTACCTGGCTCTTTACAGGGAGCAACAGTGATGCGTGTGGTAATGTGTAGCCCTGGAGCTTGAATCACTGTTCCTGTGATCACAGATCAGAACTCATGGCTAAGGATTTCAATAACAAATACATTTTAGTGGGTTTATTCCAAAGCACATTTATTTGAAATTTTGTGTGTCAAAAGCTAATAATTTTAACATTTTGATATCCTGATGAGTTTTACTTTTATTTTTGTATATGTATTTTATATCAAGAAGATTTTGAATCTTGGCTGTAAATATGAGGTGCTGGTGTTTAATTTATCTTTTATTTTTTTTATTCCTATTTTTTCCTGATTTAGGATTTTGTCTCCTTGGAGGACATGCTTCCTTCCTTACAACACAAGATATACATCTGGGCACTAATGAGAGTCTCACAGATACAGCAAGGTTGGTAAAATGTCACTTGATTGATCACTGCATTTGGTTGTTGATTGGGCTGACACCTGTCTTACAGAATTTTGGAATCTGATATTTTATTTCTGGAAAATGTCAGAAGGTAGTCCAAATTTCTTAAATATTTACAGATCAGCTCACAGAATCTTTAGCTCAGTAAACCTTTATTCCATTCTCTCAAGCTATCCTACACTTCCCACACAGAATTATTTTGGCATATAGAATGTTGATTAGAGTTACATTTACAAATGGAACAATTTTATGAACCTCAGTAGTCATGTAATTCAACTGATGACAGCACATATATTCTAACAAGACTCAAACCTTCTGATTCTGCTGCCCTTGGAGCAAAATCAAGAAGCAAAGACACAATTTATGTTAGTTAGGCCAGCTGCTGGTGGGCCTTGGCCTGCTGTAGCAGCGTCCCTGCAGTGACAGGGTGGCACCGAGGGCCTTTCTGATCCCCCATTTCAGCAGCATGAAACTGGACCCACACTTTGTAGCCAGTTTCAGATTTGCTGCACCCTCCTTCCCAGCTTCCAGGACTGCTGAGGAGGCTGGGCTATGGCTCCCTTCTCTCACTGTGTCCTGGAAGATGTCAGTCATGCCCAGCCTCACAGGCAGGGCTGGGTAGCAGCTTGTCTCCCTGGCTGGGGCAGGGAGGACCTGAGCTCAGAGTTTTTCTGCAGTGGACTGCCTCTGTTGTCGAAGAAAGCTGGCAGAACATGAGGTCATGTTTTGCAGGTGCTCCTGCTGTTTTCCATAGCATTCCAGCTACTAAAGCTTCATCCTGCCTTAGCATTATCCTGCTTTCTAGGCAGCCCTTTTGCAGCCTGGGGTTGAGTCAGCCAGGCCTAGCTGTTGGAAGGTTAGCAGTGTCTGATGGTCCTTTTTGTTCTGGTGAAAGACATGCAGTGTCAAGGTCATCAGGCTCAACTCAAATGTGCAATCAGTCAGATGAGTTCCATTGCCTTTGCTGAATACCACAGCTCTCAGTCAGTGGGAGAGACTATTTGAGAACTGTGTTGCTGTTCTCTGTGATGAAATCCAACAAAATTAAAGAAAAAAGATCAAACATTTGAACATTTTAAATTTTCCTTCCTTGTTTTTTTACTACTGAAATGGAAGACATATGGTGTTGATAGTAGAAAGTAAAAATCGCAGTCCCTTGAGGCCTGGAAGTACTTAACTCTTACTCTCTGCTAGATACATAAATCTGCCAGAATCAAAATGAGCTGCAACAACAGAATCATAGAATATTTTGGGTTCAAAGAGACTTTAAATATCATCTTGTTCCAACCCTCCTGTCATGGGCAAGGACACTTTTCACTAGACCAGGCTGTTCAGAGTCCTATCCTACTGTAAATGCAGGGCCACGAAGGAAGGAATGATGAGGTTGACTTATCAGGAGGCTAATTTATTACTTTATTATACTATATTATATTAAATAATACTATACTATACTAAAGAATACAGAAAAGATACTTACTAAATGCTAAAAAGATAATAATGAAAACTCATGACTCTTTCCAGAGTCCCGACACAGCTTGGCACTGAATGGTCAATGCAACTCACACCAGAGTCCAGTCAGGCAATCACCTTGGGTAAACAATCTCCAAATACATTCCACAGGAGCACAACACAGGAGAAGCAAATGAGATAAGAATAGTTTTCCTTTTCTCTGAGGCCTCTCGCTGCCTTTCAGCTTCCCAGGAGAAAACCCTGGGCGAAGGAATCATGTTCAGGGAATGTGAATGCCACACCATCCAGCCTAGCCTTGAGCACAGCCAGGGATGGGCATCCACAGCTTCTCTGGGCAACCTCTGCCAGTGCCTCACCAACCTCACAGTAAAGAATTTTTTCCTAATATCTAAATCTACTCTCTGTCAGCTTGAAGCCCTCTCCATCTTTTGTGTGGGCTCTGTTCAGATACTGGAAGGCTGAATTAGGTCAGTCTGGAGCCTTCTCTTTTCCAGGCTGAATAATGCCAGGTATCTCAGCCTTTCCTTGTAGGCGAGGTGCTCCCTCCTTCTGATCACCTTGCATCCCTCATCTGCACTACTGCAAAGATGGCTGTGAACCCCAGCAGCCAAACCTTCAGGAAGGGGAAGGATGAAGTCAAGGCCCTTCCAAAGCACTTCCCAGTTATAACCTCTGCAAGCATTGCCCCACCAGCCATGCAGGACTGTCACTGGAGCCTCTGCCATTCAGATGCCAACCCTACAGCAAATCTGACACAAAACCAGAGCTTAATTTTAATTTCTTCTTCTTCCCAAATGTGCAGTAAAGGGACATTAGATATTTTGTTTACAGTGTCCTGAATGGCCTTTGTTTGCACAAGCAAAAAAGGAAAAAGGCAGACAATAAACTACAAGAAACAAGGCAATAAATAGAAGCAAGTAAATTTTCCAGCCATTCTGCAGGTATTCCCATTCTGCGGATAAACTTCCTACAATATCCACTCCCCAAACAAACCTTCAGCCCCCTTTTCTCTGTCACTGCTTGCTCTTCCAGGACTCTTACCTGGAGATTTTGCTCCTCTGCTCAGTCACAGCTCTCACCTGCTACCCCCTGGACAGGGGGTTTTCCCAAATCCTTACAGTCCCAGTGCTCTGCTCCACTGCTGCTGTCATTAGCAGAAATGCAGAAATACTACTAGCTGCATAATCAAGGATGAGTAGTTTACCCAAAAAAACAACTGGAGTGTTGATTCCTTGGTGCTTCTTGTGAACGAAAGATGACATCCCAACCTCATTCAGAAAATGTAAGAACAGAAAAAGAATGCCTGTAGTAGACCCAGAGGGTATTTCAAATATTTACAGGCATGTGTCTGGGGCTCTGAAGGCCTTTGAAGTACTTGAGATTGAGACTTAAAGCGAAAGGGGCACAGATCCATAAAAGTCACAGTTTTTATTAGAACTGCTGCAGGTAAGGGTTGAAAGCATTGCTGCTGTGAACATATTTTTAGTGACTTATTACCTGCTCATAAATCAGTTCCTCCATGCTTCACAAGACATTTGCATTTATGCTGACACTGTGGCAAAAAGTTACCACCCATTAAGGAGCTCTGAGCCTTTCAGTGCTGTTTAACATGTCTGATCTAGTACCTGAAATGAAATATAAGTACTGTGTCTGTTTTTCCCACTGCAGAGCAGTTCCACTGGGCATCACTAAAGCTCAGTGGCCATCAGGTTCAGTGGCAGCCCTGAAGAGCTCACAGGGTGATTTAACCAGTCCACTGGAATTATTAGGGCATTAATCTCTGCATTTATGGGGAAAGGGTTTATTTTGCTGAGAACACATCCACTGTCTGTCCCTGTGAGACTATGAGTGAAAGTGAAGTGGTTTTGTCAGAAGTTTAAAGCTTTTGAATGGATATAAACTGTCAAAACAAAAGCAAAACTACCTTGCATAGCAGTATTCTATACAAAACATATGCAAATGCCCAATTTTCAAATTCAAAAGTCTGCCATACCCCAAAGGCATACTCTGTGTTTCATTTTGGATTCCTCAGAGGATACAGCTGAGGAAAAGAAATTCAGGTTTTCTCTGTAGAAATAAAAATTACTTTGAAAAGAGATATATACAGTATTTTGATGTACTCAGTGTTTCAATATAATATGTTTCCAGGCTCTGGGATTTTGAAGTCCATAGTCTCATGATTTTGAAAAGGAGTGAAAAGAGAGAAAAACCTATTCCTTGATAAAATAAGAACATTAAATGTAGTCACCTCATGAACTTGTGCTTACAGCCCTCAGCTTCCAAAACTTCACCTTTGATAAGCCTCCTTTACATTCAGGACTTTTATTTTTTTTGTATGCAATTCCAGCCTTACACGGTTTTCTTTAAACTAGATAAATTATCGGAGACTTAATCATTCCCCTGTAATCATAGACTTTCAGGTGAGGGTTATTTGTGTTTTTTTTTCCCCCAAGTTTAGTTTTATTTTGATTTCACAAAGAATAAAGCCAGTTCACAGCTGATTTTCCTACTGTAAGACATGACATCTAGAAATGCTGGCAGAAGGACTGTCTGATGTCCTGCTGGTAGGTGTCTAATAAATCTGAGATCTACTTCCAACAGACTAAAGATGAAAATCCAGCAGTTTTCACTAGCTGGTGATTATGACTGAATTTTCCCTGATGGCATACCCTATGAAGGAACATCTTCTTTAATTTCTTGATTAGCTGTGTCAAATAGAAATCAGCTGAGCTGACATCTTAAAAGGGAAAAACAAAAGCTGTAAGGAAAATAAGCAATTTCCCAATGTGATTGCCCCTTTGACTGATGGGGACTGGCTGTGTCTTGTTCAGGGTGTCCACCAGTGAGATGGCCATAAAAAGGAACCATGCATCACATCCCTGATGACCAGTTCAGAACAAAACAGGTTTCCCCCTGGGAAAGAAACTGGCGAGCTAAGAAGAAATAATGGCACTAGCAGTAACTGTTCCAGTACTCTGTAATCAGTAAATACCTTGTTCAGTTCCTCCTTTTCATTTGTAGCTTCTATCGACAGTCTTTTCTTCAGAGGGAGCTCTACAGGCAATCTTGTAACGTTTTATAAGAGCTTTGCTTGTGTGAGGAATGTCTGGTGTCAGTAGAAAATACTTATAACTGACTTTATCAGGAGGCCTTGCTGATGATGGTACTAACAGCCTTATTTCCACAAGAGGAGATGCAAGAATTTGTCATGGCTAATCAGGAAGGCAGTTACTGCAAGGATTTTTTCCCCCCCATATTTCTAATTCAGTCCTCCCTTGTTTTGTTTTAAGGTCCTGTTTCAGATAACATGAAAACACACAAAATGCTACTTCAAAGTCAGGCTTCAGGGCCTGATTAAAACACAGAAATGCAGAGAAATTAAGAACTCTAATCCATATTTAATTTATCTAAAAAATTCAGAGTATACTATGCTAATCTCTGTGTCTTTCACACTTCAGCAAATGAAGTTAATGCCAGAGTGGTACAGGAGTTCTGCAACCCCTTCCCTTGTTCTGAGTTTGAAATTTGGGCATTACTTGAATGCTGATACCCTGTGAGTCAATACAGAGGTGTGTAGGTAGGAGAAAGCAGACCAACAATCCCAGCCTGTTCTGTTTCTGTGTTTATTAAGATCAGTAAACAATTGTGGTAATCGAAGACAGATCTCTATTGCTGACCCTCACAGAGTCGGGCTACCATACAGAGTCTATATTATTCAGTCAATGCTACATTTGTTCTTTGCTAAAAGACTGAAAAAAATAATATACCTTATCTCTTCTGAGATTAACAAATTCTTCAACTGTTACAGTATCACACAATCTCTTATCTTAGTTCAGAAAGCTTAACATGTATCAATGTTCCATCTACAATGAAATGCTAAAGAGAAAAGAATATAAAATAGAGCAGCAGTTTTCATTTACTTACTATAGTAGTGTTAGGAAGTGAAACTTCTTACTTATTAGCAGCTTGTTAAATGGCTACATTTGAGTATGTTTTGCAGGCATGATAAATTATTCAGATAGCTGAAAAATATTGATTCATTACCATTTCTCATTAATATTTATGTGTTGCATGGTGAAGAGTGCAATAGGGGTATATTTATTATATTTGACTTGAGTATTTTCTGCCATCTCTAGGGTGCTGTCCAGCATGACAAATGCAATCTTGGCTCGAGTTTATAACCATAATGATCTGGACCTAATGGCAAAAGAAGCCACGATCCCAGTAATCAATGGATTGTCTGATTTATACCATCCTCTTCAGATTTTAGCTGATTACCTAACTCTTCAGGTAAAAATATAAACAATTTTTTTTTTTTTTGCTAATTCTTAGTAAGTATTTGGGGAAGTAATCTTCAAAACAATTTATCCCTAGGTTTTTCAAAGTAGTAATTACATGGCACTTGTTGTTTAAAGAGATCTTCATCCAGCAATATAATTAAGGACCTGTTTAATTTAAAACAATTACATAGTCGTATCAGCTGTAGTGGAACTGAAGTTAAGCACAAAATTAAGTATTTCATTGGAATTAGTCTGCAATTCAAAAAATGTACAGAGGGCTGTACATATTAAGACAAACATGAGAATCTGGCTCAGGCAAAGCCAGCAGAAGTTTTTCCATTGGCTTGAAAACACTCAGTAGTTTGCTCTTGTCTCTAGAGTTTAAGGACTCTAATCTATGGACAGCTTAAAAAGAATCACTATCTATGTATTAGGAAATTGATTGAACAAATTTGTTTTGAAAAGCCAGTTAATGTTACCAGTACCAACACTTAGTGTTCAGGCACTTCAACCAGTTTAAACTTTGCTCACATCAAAGAACAGTTATAAGAGATTGTATTTTTTTATTTTTTATCTAATGTAACAGTGGATCTGACAACGGGATAACATTTTGCACACAGAATACCAGATGTTTATCTGTGAACAGAAGGACTACGTGGTTTTACAATCGGTTGAGGATCTGGCTTATAAAAAAGATTATTATACTGCAGGGCTGGTTGACAACTATGATGAACTCCTCTGACCTTGTTTACTTTCTGAATGAATAAAAACAACACTGCTTGAAAATGGTAGGGCAGAATAATTTTCTGATTTATTCAGCTATGTTTCTCAGTTGTTGGGGACTTTGCTATGGGACATTCAGTGTGTGGGAAAGATCTAGTGATAGTAATATTAAATTATTCATACTTTAAACCTTAAATACTGGAAGACTCATGTTTGGTGGAAATCACTTCTTTGTTTTAAGTATTTTTTGTAAAATGTTATATTCATGGTGAAGAGACAAAAAAAAAAATTGGTGAACTTGAGACTAAAATGCTTACAGACCTCAGGATAAGGGAGATTTGTGAGATCATATTGAGCCAGCCTCAATGTTCAAATTGCATAAAACAGTAAGCTGTAGTGAGAATGTCATCGTTTTGTTTTAAACACTGTATGCAAATATAGGTCAGGAGAGTCTTCTGGTTGTGTTTTGTGGGGTGTTCTGTTTTGGAAACACCTTATTAATTAGCATTTCATCACTTATGAGTAGCATTCTTCAGAACAATCTGTGACACACAGCCCACACAGCCATGGGTATCTCTGCCCCTAAACTTGGATTTATCTCGGCCACTGACTCCAGCACCCAGGCTCACAGTGCTGCTGCCCTCTACTCCACCTCCAGCTAATGAAGAGAGTCCAGTGAGCATCCCAGTCACCTTCTGGAGATGCATCTCTTTCTGCACTGATCTTAGGGGGAAGCCTGTGGAAAGCAGCAGGATGAGAACATGCTCTGTTGATCACCCTCTGCTCCTCCATTGCATCCTTGCACAGGGCAGCTGTGGCAGAAGCGCCAGGTGAATATGAGCCCACAGGCTGCACTTTTCCCTGGCTTGAATTCCAAGGGCAGCACCAACAAATAAACAGCATAACAAATAATGCTGCCCAGCTTGAAAGGGCTGCAATATATGCTCAAATTCTTGCTGTGTGATCCCAAGACCTCAAATTATTACAATTTTCAAATTCATCACCATCATCTTCCTTATTCTAATAATTAGAAATCCCAACTAAGCTGTGGGTGTTCTTGCTGCACCAAACACAAAGGAGGATGTCTTTGGTGATGAAGAAACAGGTCCACAGCAGTTGGTGCTCAAACAAAAGACATATTTGACATGGGGAGGTGTCATGACAAAGTGAGCACTTAGAGCACAAGGAATGGCTCAGCTTTTATACAGACATGGGAGGGTTTTTTTTTTAAATTTACAGCACTTTCACACTCAGCCCAATAAGCAGAGCACCATTTCCTCCATCTGCCCATCTCTTCTGACTCTTTCCAGCATGTTCCTTAGCCTAAAATTTGTCAGGAGATCTTTATAGGGCAGCTGGGTGGCCACCCTGCTGTGCCAAGGGCATGTTGCACTGCTGGTGCTGACTCACTTTCCATTCCTGCTTTCTTATCCAGGAGAGAGGGGCAGGCAGGGGAGAGCTCCCTGTGGGTGACGGCACTGCCTGAACTCTCCCTTTCTGTTCCTCTGCTCCCTTTTTTTCCTCTTTGCACTGTACAGTGAGTTGGAGAAGACTCGAGTGGCATGTAATGAAACAATGTTTTAATCATATAATGAACACTGCCAGGCCACAGAAGTGAGATTAACTCTTGAAGAGGTGTGAGCCACGGGGTCTAGCTGCTGCTTACCCCAATCAAGTTTCTCATGGGATTTTCAGCAAGATGTCATCCAAATACCACCTGCAAGAAGATTAATACAGGGATGTGGAATGGTACCACTGATTTTTTTAAATGAGTTGAAAGACCATACATAACATTTAGACTGTTTTTGTGCAACGCAAAGGCAATTTATTTGATTTATACATATATGCAAACTACAGTAGTGGCACAGACTGCTAGCCTAATATTTAAATGTAACTACAGACTTTGTGCAGCTTGTTTCTCCTTATAAAATGTCTCTTCCCCATGCCCATAAATATTTTCATGCCTGGACCTGTTCCTCCCTGCTGTCAGTACATACCCAAAATGTACTTCTTTTTTTTTCTTTTTTTTCTTCTCTGTTTTCCAGTGCAGCTCTATGTGCACTCTGGTCCTCTTCATGCTTAGCACATTTTTCTTCTTCCATTTTCTATATCCTATTAATTTTGTTGTGTGCCTTCTTGAACCCTCCTCAAGAAATTTCTCTTTCCTTTGAAACTACATAATTGCACGGTTTGTTTTGAAAAAAATGTTTTCTTGCTTATAGCTTCTATTCCCTTTTCACAGGTTCATTTTAGTATCGTTATTTTAGTACAGTCCATTGCATCCCCCAAACACTGGAGCTGGTTTATTTTCAGGGCTGTCAATTCTCATTCTGTATTCAGGGCAAATTCTCATCCTGGAAATATTATTTTCAGATCATGAAGTGTGCTCCTGTTTTGGATATTGGGGTGAGATTCCTCAGGTTCAGCATCCTCCTGCCCAGTGCCTTCTTCCTGAGCAGCCTGGATCCCCTCACGTGTTTGAAGTCTAAGCTGGCTCTGTCCTTTAATATTGTGCTCAGGGTTAATGCCCTCTATTAAGCCAAGAAAAATGTTTTTCTTAGCCTATATATACACTATCTTCCTTCTTAAAGGTTGTGTTGAGCTGAGCGTGCTTGAGTTATAACCCATTCAAAATGGTTGCAAACACGTAAAGAACCCGTTTTTGGGGATTTGGCCTTTAAAGACTGTGAGTTTGTGAGCACACACTGAGCCCCTTAACTCCCCTGCTTGTGCTGTAACAGCCACGAGCTGAGTCCACCCAGTGCCTCTCGGTGTCCTGGGCAGGAGCTGTGGCTGAGCTTCTGCTCTGCTCAGCGTGGCTGGAGGGCAGCAGCACACAATTTGTATTCCAGAGACAGCCCGGGTATTGACATTGATTCAATTGATATTAATGTCACTGGCCAAATCAGCTCACTTGTAGCTGGCTGCAGGATGGCCAGACTGGTAATTAGAGTGGATCCATATGCCACTAGCTTTTTGTGTCACTGGTCTGGGGGGGATTTTCTTTTTCAGAAAGCAATGGTTGGCATAAGAAATACATCGGTGATTTCTTTTTAAGCAGCATAACAAATAATGCTGCCCAGCTTGAAAAGGGCTGCAATATATTCTCAAATTCTCCTTGCTGTGTGATCCCAAGACCTCAAATTATTACAATTTTCAAATTCATCACCATCATCATCCCTATTATTCTAACAATTAGAAATCCCAACTAAGATCTGTCCTGATCCTCTAAAATATACTGTATTAATAACCATGACAAAAACCAGTGTGGGAGTAAGAAAGAAAACTGGCCCAGCATCTGCCTTCAGCCCAGTTTGAGAACCAGAAGATCCAAGTTTGCCCAGTTTCTCATTTACTGGATTGCACTGACTCCCGAAGGGCTAAAGCTTTGATTAGTCCCCGGCATTCCATTTTAAAATTTGACAGATTATTGATTCATTATTCAAAAGCTTGTTTTAATTGAGGGCTGTTATGACAGTTGTGGTCAAACATTTCAGAATTAATCTATAATGGTGTCAGAGTTTCAGTCTCGCTGGAAGCAAGTCCAGGCAGAGGCAGGCACAAATGTCCCTAATTAGTTAACCCAGTCTTCTCCACACATACAGCAGGGTCAAATCACTGAGCAAACTTATTTTTTCCCAGAGTTGTCTACACTGATACATTTCAGCCATGGATAAGAACAGAATGAAATATTGTAAAAACAACATGAGAGTGAGAAAATTGAATGTAAAATTGGTATACTTATTTAGCTGGGATTTTTCATGAGAATAACACAGGCAAGTTTTATGGCACTACAGCAGCAATAACTGTGTTGGAGGCTTCATAAGGGAGAAGGGCTCTAGACTTTCTAAATATGTTAATTTTTTGTGTGGCTTGACTAGGAGTCATGTTCCAAATATAGAGTGAAACTGCAGAACACCCATGAAGGAGTAAAGCCTACATCAATATAACATAATTTGTAAAAACTGGGGAGGGATGCAAAGGGGAAATTTCTGCAGAGGTTCTGGTGATCAGCAGGTATTGTAAAGGCTTTCATTTAATTTAGAGTGTTACTATCATGGCAAAACACTTTTAGCAGGATTTCACCTGTGTGATTGTGTAAGTACACACTATAAAAGAGGGAGTGGGCAGGAGGGGAAGTGTGTCTCATTTACTGCAGATTTTGTATTGCCTCCAAGCTTTCTGGTTCTGACCAGCAGAGCCACCTCATCTTTGCTGGAAGCTGAGGGTGTGTGTTTGCTCATAAGCAGTACAGTCACAGTCACAGTGATCTGGCTTTAGATGAAAAGGTTTGAATTACAGCAGCAGTGCACCAGCGGCAGTATAAAGCCTAGCACAGGATACAAAACCGGCTTCACTGGCACACACAGAGCTTGATTCTGCCTTGCTATGACTCCTTCCATTAGCAAAATATCTTCATTAAAATCAGTTCAGCTATGTCCACTCTACACAGTAGTCACTGCAGATGTGGTTTGCAATTTGCACTGCATATCAGGGATCATTATACAGGCATGTCCAGTACTCCATATTTTATCTGTAACAGCTAGCAGCTTGGGAAAACAGAGGAAAGCACTTAGTATGCGCTGTGCTTCTTTTAATGCAGAGCAGCAGCTGGCAGTAAGGTGAAGTTGTTTAACATAGCAGTGTATTTGTGACTCTAGTCAATGCTTGGAGTATTAAGGCTGAGATGTCTATTTTTAAACAGTGAGATGAAAAGAACTCAGGACTGTCTCACTTGCTTCTGGCTGTGGGTTCTGGTCTCAGCTATCACTAAGCTCTAAATGGAAACAACACCTTAAATAAATGCTTCAGTTTGGCCTTCTCCTAGGAGCACCTAGGAGATGTGGAAGGACTTTGAAAGGTCCTTGGAGACCTGCAGAATGGTTATACTGAAATAACTTCCATGTCCAAAAAGTCCTGATTTGTTCTCCTGTAAATGCCCTTGCATCCAACCTCTGCCAATGAGCCTGCTGTTAACAAACTTTGGCAGAAAAAGCAATATTTTTGCAATACCATAGTTTTACCCCTTAAACCTGAACAGTCTAGGACTCTATCCAGTTTAGGTATTTACAGCACTTTAATGTCATTCAATTTTCAATTACTACTATTTTTGACTCAAAATTGTGGTCACTGAAAGAAATGCTAATAACTTTGTTCTGGAACAACTTCACAAACTATTTGCTTAGGAGAAGCTGCTGCCAGGAGAGGAGGGGGTGGTCCCAGCCCTTTTCCTGTTCAGTCTGTTGGCATCTTTTCTGCAACTGCAAGGTTGCCACTTAGTACAATGTGGATGCTTATCCTCTCTGACAAGCATTGAATCATGTCACACAAAGTGTTGAAACATTGTCTGGCTTCCAGCTACTATAATGCAATTTGCATGGCCCAGATTTGAACTAAGAATAAAAGGCTCTCCAGAAATTGTTTCAAGTAATGAGACAGAGTTTTACAGAGCAGGCTTATAGAATTTGGTTATGTCTTTGTAAAAATTTTGGTATCAGCTTAAGTGCCTATGAACATGCATATTTAAAACAAGGCTCATTAAGGAGCCTCAAATTGTCCTGCTCTGGAAATATGTAATCCCTGTTACTCTTGTTCCTCCTTAGGCCCTTATCTGCTTGGGGTGGAGGGACAGAGTAACTGCACATGGCCAGGCTGTAAGTGCCATCAGGCAAAGCCACAGTTAACTCTGTAATGCTGTTTCAAGTTTGGGTAATCCACATTTTTTAAAAAATCCCTGCACTCTTTGGCTGAACAATGGAGAACAAATGCTGCAGGCCATGAGTGGCACAGCTGCTTTCAGAGTGCTGCTCTTTGCTGTCCTGTGCACTGGGGGTGAAGATGCACTCCCAGGACCTGGCCACTGCCATGGCCTCAGGGAACAGCATGCAGAGGCAACCAAGCCAGAGCAATAGGGGGAAAGCTGGAAGGAGTTCTATTTCAGGCATTAGGACTGTCTCTAATTATTTCTAACATTCACTGATGTTTATGAGGCCCAAAGAACAGCTGTACATCAGTGATGCTAAAATCACTTTGTGTCCGCTGCTGAATCTCAGCCTGAGCCTCACCACATGGCACATGTGCCAATGTGTCCTTCTCCCATGTACCAATGTGTCCTCCTCCAGGGGAAGCAGCAGCACTTGGCCCTTCTTGTATGACATGAGGAGAGCTTTCCTTCTGTGACTATCCTGTAGGAGCAGCAATTCCAGGTGTGCTCCATGTAGGCAGCACTTGAAGGCAGCCAGCTGCCTTCACACAGACCCTTCTGATCATTCCATCTTGTCCATCAACCTGCCCAGCTCCTCTGGAAAGTTACCCCAGAGCTTGTGATTGCTTTGGCAGGAGCACTATGGAGGGCTGAAGGGGCTCACCGTGGCCTGGATCGGGGATGGCAACAACGTCCTGCACTCCTTCATGACGAGCGCGGCAAAGCTGGGAATGCACCTGAGGATCGCCACTCCCAGGGTAAGAAAAAACAAATCCCTGGAGAAAGGAAGGCAAACTGCACCCAGGCTTGTCTGAAACACTCAGGCACTGCTCAAGGGCCCCAGCTGGGGGTGCCTGCATCTACCTTGAGTGCCTGTTTTCAGAACCTAGGTACAAAATCCCAATCCAGTTATTTGGATGCAAAGCAGGAGTGTTTCTACTGAGTCCAACATCAGAAATGGGAATACATGACAGGAGTATAAATCATGGAGGATCACAGTTTCATCTGATAAAGCCTTATAAACCCATTCAATGTACTCTCCCCATTAAAAAAAAAAAAAAAAAAAAAAAAAAAAAGTTACGCCTGTTTCAGATGGGTGGAAGTTTTGCATCTCATTTAATGTAAATTGGTGGTGCAGCCTTTTAGAATGTTGCATTGTAATGCAATATAAAATATTTTTAAAAATCAGTTTAGAACAAAAAAAATTAAATGTTGTATATGCATTTAATTCTGTAACTGTCAAAATACATTTTTCTTATGTTTTTAGAGCACTTTTCGCCACTTGATCTCCAAAATAAACTTTCAACAAAATCAGCATAGTTTCCTCGTTTTACAGTTCTGAAAGTTATTCTTTTTCCATGGCCAATGGTTCAATAAGTATTTTTCTAACCATTCTTATTAATAAGTGAAGTTCTTATACATGTTCCATGTTCCATGATGTCTTATCTATCATCTCTTTTGTCAGGGCTTTGAACCGGACCTCAGGATAACTAAAATAACTGAACAGAACTCCAGAGAGGTAGGAGCCTAAGAAACACCCTAGTAGAATAGTTTGAATAGAGTTTATTTTCATTATAAATGAAGTTCCTTGTCTTAGTGATCTTATTTTATTCACATTAGTATGGTACCAAGTTACTTCTCACAACAGACCCTTTGGAAGCCGCAGACAGTGCCAATGTCTTAGTCACAGACACATGGATAAGCATGGGACAAGAAAAGGAGAAGAAAGAAAGACAAAAGGCCTTTCAAGGTTATCAGATTACAATGCAGGTAAAAACTGAGATTTTGGGTTTTATTTATGTTTTTACACTTTGTATTTCTAAGAATCAGAATCAACCATGCATGAGTTTGAGGGGTTTTTGAGTGGGGCCATGGAAAAGCCACATGCAAACCTCCCTCCAGCTTAGAAAACTCACAGAGATAACAGAGTTTGAGTTATGTCATGCACTCCACATGACTTGGACTCTTTCAGAGCTTCCCAATGAGATCAAACTCCAGAACGTGCAGCTGAGGGGTTTTCACTCCACTTCTAAACTCAGAGAAATTGGAGTGACTTTTTGACTTTTGTGAAGTCAGCATTGAACTCTTACAGACTTGCATGAAGATATTCCCATCTTATTCGCAGATGAGGAATTCTTTTGAAGTCTGTGGAATTCTTCTGAGTTCATCATGCAAGTAACCAGAGTGGGAGTTAATATAAAATTTGTTAACTTTTTTACTAGTTAAGGATTTTAGTAATGTCCTCACATATGTCTGTATTTTATATGCTTTTTAATCTACAGACTGCAAAATCTGCTGCTGCCAACTGGACTTTTTTACATTGTTTACCCAGAAAACCTGAAGAAGTTGATGATGAAGTATTTTATTCTCCACAGTCATTGGTTTTCCAGGAGGCTGAAAACAGAAAATGGACAATTATGGTAAGAAAAAAAAAAAGAAAATAAGGTAACATTATTTGGAGGTTAGGGTCAATTCTGTTCTGTCTTACACAACAGGCTTGAATTCAACCTGGTTCTACAGTAAATAGTGAATGTTAAAACATATGTTTCAAATTTACCCCACAGCACATCACAATTTTGACTATAGACAACATTAGTAGTTACAGTAAATAGTGAATGTTAAAACATATGTTTCAAATTTACCCCACATCACAATTGTGACTATAGACAACATTAGTAGCACAAATACTTCTGGGCACAAATGTGATCTATTTTGGTGATATTCTGCTGTTGCTTGACCCAGGTTTTATCACTAAGTGAAATCTACAATATAAACTGTCACTTTTTTTGGTAATTAAATCACTGGACTTACTCTAATGGTTAACTCAACTTCTCAGTTAAGACATGTTAAACGCTGAGGTCCCAGGGTCTGGTCTTAGAGACTGCAGTTTCCCAAACACTTAAAACCAGTTATTTTCTCTCAGGAAAAGCCGCTGCTGACATCAGTGGGAACTTTCCCCGAGAAAAGATTTGAAAGATCCTGAAAAGTTATGGTGTGGGTGACACTGTGTGATCATGGGAACCATGAGGGGACACTTGGCATTTAACATAAACCATAACTCCCATCTCAGCATTCCTGGAATTTCAGAAAATTACTGCCAGATCTCAGTAGCCTATTATTTATTTTTGGCTTTAGATCCACCAAGCTGACAAAAGCTAGTGAAAACTTTCAGAGGTGAAAAGAAAAAGAGAGATGGCATTGTCATAGTTCTGAGATGAAGCCTAGATGTGCTCCTAATGAATAAATAAGGGGTTTAGTGTTGTGTTTGCTAAAACCCCAGATATTGGACACAGTCTAAATTACTAACAAATTTGTGCTAAATTCATAGTTTTTGTCCTTAAAATTCAACATAATGCTCAGATCTTTTTGTTTTAATTTTGCAGTGTTTCTAATTGACCTAAATATAATTTTTTTTAAAAAGAAAAGAAGCCCTTCACTTTGGGTTCCAGATGCACATTTTGCGGGGGGCTGGGGGGGGTGAAAGGAAAATGTCATCTTTGTATTTTATCAACCTATAAAAATAATAAATGTATGGGTCATGTTTATATAGTATTTTCTACCACTTGTAGCACAGAGAGCAAACTGAAGAATAGATTATTTGCTCAGCTGTAGATGCAAGCAGGGCTGAGTGCAGCCAAGAATGGGCAGCACTGAGGGGCTGCACAGCTGGAATTCAGGCACCTCTGTGTGCCTGGGCTGACCCTGGCTATCTATTTCTCTGGGTGGGGACTGAAGGCTCTTGAGACGGTAGTTCATGTTTGGACTCAGGTGTTTATTGTTTCTTATCAGTAAAAAAGACTGATAAGAAATAACTCACAACTGTGAGTTTGGCAGTTTTTCATTAGAAGGCACAAAATAGCTAACAATCTCTTGTTACAAGGTCTTTGAAGACTAAACTATCCAATTAAGAAAGGACACCTAGATTATTTTCCCTTTTAACCCAATAACTGATCCCAAAAAGCCTGCAATGCGGACTTCTCTGCCCAATTACAGAGTGCCACCCAAACCCATGAGGAAGGAGGAAGAAGAAGGTAAAGAAGAACAACCTGCCTCCACCCTAAAACCTCCATCTTGCTTCCATCCACAAGATACTAAAAATCCCAAAACCTAAATTTCTCACCAAGTGATGCCTATAATCTATTTCACACTTTAGTGGATTCTAGTCTATCTTGAAGTCTAGGAACCTTTCTCCATGAATGAGGGTCAAAGCCAGGGCTCCCCTGAGGGCCAGGACACCCCAGAGCAGACAGAGAAATATTCCCAGTGCCCTGGATTTCCACACCTGGCAGTGATGAGGGGAAAGGAAGGACAGGCAGCAAGACCACAGCCCCTGGAGAACCCTCACAAATCCAGTGCTGAGCCAAAATAACCATGTGCAGTCAGACCTTGCTGTGAAATCACAGCACCACGTAAAGAACCAGGTAAAGCCTTGCCCAAGCCAGGTGAGTGTGGGGTTTGTTGTGAGCACAGGCGTGGGAGGGACAGCGGAGCTGCTGCAACACCACACTTCATTTAGCTGAGTACATCACTGCCATTTCACAGCTGTGCCTGAGGCTGGGCAGGCAGGGCAGGAGGGGTGGATGGCACACTCTTGACCTCAGTGAGCATTTTCCATGTTTCACTACAGAAAGTATAGCTAAACTGGGATAAATTTCAGAGTCCATGTTCTAGTGTGGCTCTCACTGATGCTAATGGAAAGTGCTGGAATCCACAAGCCAGCCCATGTGATGTCTGGGTACCTAGAGCATCTCCTAGAAGTAGCTGAGAATACATCACAACATGCCAAAAAGGCCTCAGCATTTGATCTAAATGCTTGTGTGAATTGCTTCTAAGCTGTCCATTAATATATTTTGTCCACACTGAGAAAATCTATCAGCTACAATACAGAACATCCTAACTGAATTTCAGCTCTTGCCTGATTCATCATAAGAAATTCTAGCAAATAAATCTAAGTGTACCGTTTTTGTCAGGATAATAACTTTCAACACAAGGCTTCAAAGCTGGAAAATATTTTCCCCTTATTTATTTTTATGGAGTATCTGTTTCCAATGTGATTGGATTTTTTTTCTTCTCTTCCTCCTCTAGGCTGTCATGGTCTCCCTGCTGACAGATTACTCACCACAGTTACGAAAACCCACATTTTGATGCTTGGATTCCTGCCAGGAGAAAAATATTCCTCATCAGCAGAATATTCTGGTCCGCAAACACATAGATCTTCTTCAGAAAGGACCAAGGCAATGAGTGATTTTTTTTAATAAAACCATACAGTTGGCTGTATAATATTGCATTACACTTCTGAAAATGTTCAAGACGATAAACACCATTGCAGAAGCTGCTTTTCATCTGGATGCTCCAAGCTGGCCCTCCTTTTTGGGGATCAGCATCATGGAAAACATTCCAAGGTTGCACCTTAATGGCTGGATCTACCAGCAGCATAGGCATGGTTTAGACTATGTGTAGGTGTGGTGAGATTGCACTGTGTGATATTGATGCCTAAAGATTTTTAGCTTTTTCATATATTTGTAGCTCTTTAGATTTTTAATGTATAGTGGCATAGTTTCTAGTGCTTTTCCTGCTCTTAGAATAATAAGCTAACCCTTTCTAATGCATTCCTGAAATTCTGTTTAGTCTTATTCTCAAGAAGGGAATTTCTAACAAGGACATCTTGTTTTTCACCAGAATTTGAGAGACATAACAACATATAGGACACAAAAAAAACCCAGGACCAGCTCCAGAGGGGCAGATCCAAGGGTGGGTTACTGGGGCAACTGATCTCTGATTGGATGTACTGCTAGATAATAAAGTAACTTTATAAAAATTGTAGAAATCCTGTATCACACATGCACAGAGCCATTTTTGTGCACCTGAAAGCTTTCACTAAAGATTGCTTTTTATCTTACTACTCTTAATATTGTTTGGAAAGTTTTGTCTTTTGATTCCAGGCGGCAATATGACAGACATAAAATTAAATTGCTGATCTCAGGAAGTGTGTGTGGAGCAGCAGTGCTGCAGTTTGCTTGGCTGTCTGCATTTCCTGGGCACCCTGGCTCCTGTTTCTGTTCTCCAGCCAATCTCCAAATCCCACTCCTATGTGACACCAAAAATATAGAGAACTTGTGAGCATTATCCTCCTCCATGACATTCCTGTGGGCTTGTGCAGGGGGATACTGCTGTGGAATTGGAATAGAGCTGTTTGCATGGAGCTGGATGCAGCAAAGAGAGACAGCCAGAAGGAACTGGTTCATTCTGTGCCTATCTCCCCTAGACTTTCATTCCCCAAACAGAATTTTGGCTAAAGAATTGAATATTCTATTTTTTTTTTTCCTAAGCAAACACAAGGGGCACCACATGATGACAGTTATACAGCTTCTTTGCAGAAATTGCTGTATTTTGCCTTGCACTGTAACACAACATACATTTCAGCTACTCCTTCTCAGAAGTAAATAAATTCATGACATTTGCAGTTTTTGTGATATCTGGGTATGTGCATGTAATATTTCAGGTAAAGGTTTGAGTTAACTATTAACAAACATCTTTGTTGTTTCTAAATAGTTTCACTTTTTTTTTTTTTTCCCCCACCATAATGCTGGGACAATGTCTGTGATATTTAAAGAAATTCTGCAAATGTTTGCGTTTTCTGACCAGCTGCAAAACATTATTCAGTTCCTTTCCAAATTGAAGTTCACTGCAGGGTCACACATCACTGAAATGAAAATAAAGATACTTTTTTTTTTCTATCTATTTACAATTGATTTCTTGGTTTTGCAGGCATTTGTGTGTCTTGTTAAGATTAACATTTTCCTTTACAACATTACAAGGGTTTCAATAATTCAGTGACCATTTACACTTCAGCAGAGACATTGCTGCATCAATGATGTAGGAATAGGATATGTGCAAGAAATCAATGTTTTACTTCCCAGTTCAACATGTGGAGGAAAATGCATGGAATACAGTATATTCTGCATATGGTTGCAGTAAGTCCTGTTCTTTGAATTAGGTTCCAGTTCAGCAAGATAAGTAGAAGTAGGATTGGTCCTCTTGGACCTGGTGAGCTGTTCATGTGCTCAGATTTGAAGATGTCCTTACTGACCTGATTTTAGCACTGTCTCAGAGTAAGACAGCTCACTTTTCTAGACCTTTCATAAAAGCCACATTAATATCAGTTTTATGGTGTTGCTCAATGTACTGTCAGTGAAGGCACTTACATTTATAATACCAAAGCTGTGTTGTCAAATCTTTCAGGGTGAACAGTTTAGCAATCCTGCTCCTCTTTTCATTCTCAGTGCTCTGATTAGAGCTAACGTGCATCTTGGTTATTGCTGACTCTTTTTGTGCTCAGGAATCTGAGCAGGATGCCAGGCAGCTGAATCCCCTTGACATTTTTATAACACATGCATAGAGCTGCTGGTGTAGCGTGTGAGTAAGAGGGTCCAACATTTCCAGGAGGGGAATTTCACTTGTTCTGCTCCTCTGTGAACATATATAGCAAAGGATGACAGTCCCTGCTCTGTCTTGCACCAACTGCTCACACCATGAGCTGTTCTGGTTCTTTATAGGAATACTGGGTGGACTTCATATATCCTGAGCACTGGATTCCACTGTGTGGAATTGCTGAACCTCCTACACCCTCCTGCATGTGCAATACCCAGCCTGTGTGCTGGGAGCCAAAAACATCCCAGCAGGCAGATTTATGGAACATGTGTAGACTGTCTGCACAGAGCTCACAGAGCAGATCTGACACTTTCTAGAGGCATTGGATTGGTACCAAATAGACTTTCTGCCCCACAGACCCTGAAATGTGGTGCCCTGAAGGGTTTCTGTTATGCCTGTAGGGACTTTCACTGCCTTGACATACAGCAGAAAAGCACTGCAAGGATTAATCCACTTGGGCAGGTTAAGCATCCTGGGATTGCTGTGTGGTAGCTATGGTAGTGTGCAAGACAGCATTATTATGCCACCCAGACTCCTCATTAATTCATTACTTGAATTTACTAGTGATAACTGCAAATGTGGTAAATAAGGAAAACAGCAATAATGTAGGGAGATTTTCTACAGGGAAAAACAGTTTATCAGCATTCAAAGGGCTTAAACCAAATGCATAACAGGTAGCATAACTAATAGCTTACAGTGTTTTTCATTTTTCATTACATTTATTATGCTTTAATCAGTAGGAGTGCTGTTTTCGTTGCTGAGTGTACTTGAAGGATAGGGTGTTGTTTTCTCTGTTTTTTACAGAGATGCTCCTGCCTGGCTCCTGATAGCCTAGACTTTCCTTCCACAAAAGTCCTGCTCTTCTGTTGGACCCAGAGAACAGCCCTGGGTCAGTTCAGGCCTATCAAGTCTTACCCACATCTGACTCATTCAATAACCCCTGGTCCAGTGTTTCACCCCACACATCTGCATGGTTGTGCTCTGGCCCCTCTCCAGGACCCTGCACTGGTGGGGGCAGCTGCCAGCCTAATCCATCTCCTCAGAGGCACAAAGGGTGGACTGAGCCCCCCTGTCCTGTTCCTCTTGCCTGCAGGGCTGTTGTGTGCTCCTGCTTGTGCAGGCACACCCAGACCTCACACACAGGCAGCACTGAGGTTGTGCTGTGTCCCAAGAGGGAATAGTCATGCTAACTTTGGCGCCCAAAGTCCAAAGGCAGATCCAAAGTTAGTACTAAATCTGGCTCTGATCCCAGTTGAGGCCATGGGGACCACAGGGGCCCAGAGGTACTTAAATGTCATTTTAGACTGCTGGGAGTCTTGGAGACATCTGCACAGATTCAGCAGATGGGACACAGGACCAATGGAGCACTGAGGGCAGAAACTGGTGGCCAGCAAGGACATCCTACTGATGGCCCCAAATCCAGTGCTTTGGCAACCACTCCCTCACTATATTCATGGCCTGTAGAGGATTACTCCTGTTCTATGCCTAGGAAGAAAAATACAGGATTGCTTTTTAGCAGTTCCCAGACTCTGTAAATACTTGTTCTGCAGCACACAGCAGTGGGGGATTCTTTGATTATCTGTGTGTGATCTTCCAAAAGTGAGCTAACATTACCTAGAGATTTAGTAGAAAAAGAGGGGCAGAAATCTTCTTTATGATTTTCTTAAGGAGGAAGAACAGCGTTTTTTCCTGTGTACTACAAGGAAGAGAGCATAGTAACCACAGCAGGTAAGAGACCTGAGGAAAGAATTCGCAAATGACGAGTGTAACTTGGGAAGGACTGAGTGGGGAGCCTGGACAACCAGGAGAGAACAAAGTAAAAATTCTCAAACATAATTAAATATTTTATTTGAGCCAGCTTACATCAGGAATGACACCACGCACAGCAGATTTACTCATTGTCTGGTAGCAGAAGCAGTCGCCTGTGAAAGTCTAAGCTGCTAAAAGGGAAATACAGGAATAACTAAATAGCAAGGAAGCTCCAAGGCTTGGTTGCCTGAAGTCCTCTAGAACTCCTAAATTAATGTTTGCTTCTCATAAGACAGGGCTGTAAGTAATCCATAATTATCTTGCTCCCTTTCAAATGTTGTGAGAGAAGGAACAAGAGCTGCACAAAGGTCTGAGCAGTGCACTGAACTGATCATTCAGTCTGGGGAAAGATTTCATGGCTGAGCTGAGATATATTGAGCTTAGTTTTGTTTTCCAGCAATGTGTAATACTGGTGGAAAGTCTGAAAAACAGATTTCACAAAAAGGGAAAGGTTTCTTCTTTCTTCTGTGTCTCCCATTTCTCAGCTAATCACTTGGTTAATTGAGAAAATAAATGGTGCTTTTTTGATTATTTTGCCATGGCTATTTAGCCAGCTGCCTTTCAAATGCAGAGCCCAGAATTTTTGGGTCTTGCCCAAGGTTATGTGTACAGAGACACTTCATAAGCCACAATCAACATTTAATTCAGCCCAGCATTTGTTCTCATGACAAATGGGATACAGCTATTTGCAAGGTTATTTGATTCTTACACAATCTCGTTACCAGCTTTTTGAAGAAATCCCAAACCTTTGTGACCTCTGTAAAGGCTGATGATCTCTTCCATGTGTATGTGTGTAGAGGATTTTTCTCTACGGGCAGGAAATCTGAGGTGCCTCCATTCAGACAACAGATCTTTCACAACCACAGTCAAAGCATTGCTTGCCCCTGCCAAATCCCTTGGAAAGTTCCTTGTGGTCTGCATTATGCTAGAGGATTAATGAATGCTGTTGCTCTTAATGGGCCTATTTTCAGGGGATTGGCACTCATGCAGAGTAGGTTCCAAGACAAGCATAATATATCTAGAAAGAGGGACGA